CTCGCCCTTTTTGCTGTAGGGTTGGCACTAGAAGCTTTCTTGGGGCCCATGGTGACTTATTTTGTAGGTGCAATCACTAAAAACGCTGTGATAATATGAAATGTTCCAATTGTATGTGTGGATGGGACCGCGGTGGCTGGAGGCTTGTAAACACTGGCCACAAGTGGACACGTCTCAGACGGAACAAATCGTGTTGGTCGAGTTTTTTAGCGCTAGTCGAGGCAAAATTTTTGCGTTAAAATGTATCGCTAGTCGGATTTAACATTAGACGATGCCATCGTTGGTCGAGGGTCCACTGTACTGGTTTTCGAAGAATGGTGGATGAGTGGGAATGGTCTTCCAAGTAGGGTGATCGAGGCTAGGACCTTGGGTAGCTTTAAAAGGAGATTGGACAAATACATGAGTGGGAGGGGCTGGGTTTGACTGGTGTCGGGGGTATGGGAGTTAACTCTTGGGTAGTTTTGGGTAGGGGTGGTTTTCATAAGGACCTGCCTTGTATGGGCCAGTATGCCTTCTGCAGTGTTCCTTCATTCTTATGTTCTTAAGTATAAATAATAGAAGTCCTCAGGTTGTTCTTCAACTCTATATATCTTTGGTTAAGCCTCATTTAGATTATGCTGCGCAGTTTTGGTCACCGTATTATAGAATGGATATAAATGCACTGGAAAACGTACAAAGGAGGATGACAAAGTTGATCCCATGTATCAGAAATCTTCCCTATGAGGATAGACTGAGGGCCCTGAATCTGCACTTTCTAGAAAGGCGTACAATTAGGGGGGATATGATTGAGGTATATAAATGGAAAACAGGAATTAATAAAGGGGATGTAAATAGTGTGCTAAAAATATCTAACATAGGAAGAATTCAGGTTCAGGAAGGATTTAAGAAAGCAGTGGTTTGGTAATAGAGTTGTGGATGAGTGGAACAAACTCCCAAGTACCGTCATACAAGCTAAGATGTGTAAGTTTAAAAATAGGTTGGATAAATACATGAGTGGGTGTGGGTGGGTGTGAGTTGGACCTGACTAGCTTGTGCTACTAAGTTGGATGCTGTGCTTCTCCCTTAAGTGATGTGTCTGACCTCACTAGGCCTTGCATAGGCCAGTAGGTCTGTTGCAGTGTTCCTCCTTTCTTATGTTCTTACTCACGTCAGCTAGGCCTGTATACCTTGTGCATGTAGTAAATAAAGATATTATTATTATATGTTGTAGCATTGTCTTTCCTGGATTGAAGAGTGACACATTTCAGGGTGGAAAACATTACAGGAAGAAGAGTTGCATTCTCCTGTTGTCATTATTATAATCAAGGAGGAGGATTATTATTATAATCAAGGGGGAAGCGCTAAACCCGGAGGATTATACAGCGCCTGGGGGGGGGGATGTGGAAGGCATTCAGGCTTAATTCGGGGAACTGGAGCACAGATCCAATTCCCTAAATCAAGAGCCCCTCACCAACATCAAGGAACCTTCCTTGAGGGGAATCAAGGAGGAAGCGCTAAACCTGTAGGATTATACAATGCCTGTGAGGGGGGGATATTAGGTATTCAGGTTTAACCCCTTGAGGGTCCGTGCCGTAGATCTACGGCTTTATGTTGAGGATCCAAACCGTAGATCTACGTCATGAGCTAAGCTCATTCTGATAAGCTGTGAGCGGTAAATTTTGGCCTTGATATGAGGGAATACATATATGTATATATGTGGTATGTGTGCACCACATAAAACAAATCCTGCAGCACATAGTGCATAATGAGAGAAAAAAAACGAGACCGTAATTTTCGATTAAAACAGCGACTTTGAAGTGTTTTTTCTTATGTTTTTTATAGTTGTATTTTATAGTTGTAACTGTAGACGGTAATATCAAACAGCTGTAGATATTGTTAAGGAAATCAGCTACTTGTGGGTCTTTCACTGGATGAGGTTCATGTTGAAGTCCCCAGCAATTATTACATAATATTTGTTTAATTTTTTGTTAATTATTAGGTTTTCAAGGCTATCACTGAGGGTAGCAACATTAGTGTGTGTTAACTTGTACATAATTTCAACTGTAATTGGGGTCTTTAAGGTTTTAATTGTAAAGTGAGCAAATATATATTCACCATGTTCATCCTGGTACACACTGAGTTAATGCATCTCAGTTCATTAGAATTTTAGTATTGTTGTTCCTCCTCCCATTTGATCAGGCCTGCAGGTATAAATAGCTATGTACACAAGGAAATTCAAAATGTCTACTGTGTTGTGTTTAAGCCAGGTTTCCATAGGAACAATGAAAGTTATGTTAGTATGTATTATTATTATAATCAAGGGGGAAGCGCTAAACCCGGAGGATTATACAGCGCCTGGGGGGGATGTGGAAGGCATTCAGGCTTAATTTGGGGAACTGGAGCACAGATCCAATTCCCTAAATCAAGAGCCCCTCACCAACATCAAGGAACCTTCCTTGAGGGGTATGTTAGTATGTAAAAAGTCAAATAATGCTATGGTGTTATCAAAGAATTTACTCAGGGATCTAACACTGAAATTAAATAATGATAGTCTTAGAGGGAGCAAGGGGCTACTAACCCCTTCTCTCGTATGCATTACTAAAGTTAAAAAGAGAAACTTTTGTTTTTCTTTTCGGGCCACCCTGCTTCGGTGGGATATGGCCGGTGCGTTGAAAGAAAGAATAGTCTAGTTGTTTGGAATTTACTTGGCTTGCTATGTAATAATGACAATCACTGTTAGAAGAATACTGATTATTATTGTGATAAGAGATTTTCCATAGTTACTATACACCAGCATGTTACATTTTAAGCCTAATGGATGAGACCTTGCATTATGAGCAAAATAAAAATGAAAAGTTAGAAAAAAAAAAGTTCAGGTACCCACCTAAAGGGGGCTGTAGGGCAAATTTCTGCGCGCGCTCGCCCAAAAATCGAAAAATTATGGAAACTGAGTTATATATACCGAAAAACAGCTTAACTCTTTGGCAACACAATGGTACCAGAATGAATGTTCTACGACGTTTCGTAGCGAGTCTGCTCACGGCCCGTATATTTTTTGGAGTTTTTTCCTTGTTTTTTATCGCTTTTTCTTGCATTATTCTTTCTAATATAATAACTGACTATTTGGCATCATAAAACAGTAGGTGGAGCTTATCCGTAGACTTAGAGACAACCAGGAACCATATGGGAACGCTCGGCAGTGCTCCCGCTCCAGAGTGCCAGGAGAAATCACTTCATTATTACGCTTATATATCAACTCTACGGCTTATTTGTCTATCAGAATTGATCTAATATGATATAATAAACACTATAAATAACATACAAACATGTTATATACTCTAGACTGAATAAAATAGGCCATAATATGGCGAGAGATTATCAGGAATATTTCGATATTATTGAGCTACTCCTCTCCATGTCGTATTCTTTGGTCTCTGAGTAAGAGAAAACGGTGTTTTGAAGAGGATAACTACACTAGAACATCAGTTTACTAAGAAATACACCCAAACGCGATTTTTGCGATTTTTTTTTTTTTTGAGACGGGGGCCGGCTGGCGCTCCCGGCCGATATCTCGCAAGTAACTTATTCACCTAAAGTCCATAATTCTTCCTTTATTACTTAATTAAATGGAATAATATTCACAGAAATTGTAGAATAATGATTTCTCTAATTTCCCCCAAGAAATTTTTGGAAATATTCCAAATACTTTGGGAGTTATGTGGGAGAAAAGGGCAGATTTTTTTGCAATATTCCAGGAACTTACAAATTTTATTTTTTTGTGAAATAAGGATAAGTTATTTAGAGGAAAGCTAACGATGAAAATTAGTATTAGCATTGTTCTCTCGGCACCAAGTGTCCAAACAACCTTACGTAGTCCCATATAAGAATGAATGTAGGCACAAGGGCATTTTCAGTAAATCAGTCTTTTCTCAGTTGTTGTTTGAGGTATATTTTTGATAAATATTTTCAAGAAAGAGTGAAAACACTTTGTCTTGTGCACCAAAACTGGATAAAATCGGACGGTAAACAAAAGAGTTACAAATTTTGCCCTACAGCGTCCTAAAGGTTCCCCTTTCAAGGATGCCTAATAACTGTCCTACAGAGTTTCTCTCCCTCCAGATAGATGAACACAGTTTTTAATAATCCTTGATGTTAGTTGTAAGCAAACTAAAAACTTTCAAAGAACAGATGAACATTTTTTTTACTCACCAAATACTAATGACTGAAAAATAAGCTATGTACTATACAGTTTATAAACTAATTGAAGCCAGTGGAAGGTAAAGACTGTCATAAGTAAGTGGTAGTTCATTTTTCTTTTAAAGATATCAACAATATTCCTAGGCAGTAGGTTGATACAGAAACTGCCCAGGGAGGTACTACCATCCTGCCAAGCGAGTGTAAAACGAAAGCCTGTAATTGTTTTACACGATGGTAGGATTGCTGGTGTTTTTTTTTCTGTCTCGTAAACATGCAAGATTTCAGGTACGTCTTCCTACTTCTACTTACACGTAGGTCACAATGCACATGCATGTATAAGCATATATATATACACACACCCCTCTGGGCTTTATATTTTCTTGCTAGTTCTTGTTTATTTCCTCTTATCTCCATAGGGAAGTGGAACAGAATTCTTCCTCCGTAAGCTATGCGTGTCATAAGAGTCGACTAATATTCTGCGAGCAAGGGGCTAGTAACCCCTTCTCCTGTATATATTACTAAAGTTAAAAAGAAAAACTTTTGTTTTGCTTTTTTGGGCCATCCTGCCTTGGGAAACAGCCAGGTTCTTGAAAGAAAGATCAACAATATTAGGTAGACTTAGAGTCCTGGAGGTGGGAGGTACAGTGTCTGAAGGAGGGATGGGGATGTTACAGTTTAGAGAGCAATTTAAATTGTGATTGTCTGTGTACTAATTGCAAGAAAATAACTGAGTAATGGTAAATGTTTCCATATTTGAGTCACACTGCCTTGGTGGGAAACAGCCAATGGAGTAAAAATAAAAAGGAATGGAATGAAAGAAGAAATTAGCTCTATTTTAAATCATGAAAATATATATAATATGTACTGTATACACAAAACTGTCAAAATGTTACTGGTAATATTTCTTATTTTGAATTTTATTATTCAAAATGTTCCCAAAGTCTGAAAAAAAATTGTGCTCAGAATGATGAATAAACTTCTATATGTGTTAATTAGGATAAACCTTTCTAATTTCTGTTTTTCTAAATAAGACTATGAGTTCTGAAACTTTTAGTTTAGAATGACAATAAACAAGAACACTTGAAAATGAGCAAAAATCTTATTACATCTGGAAACTTTAAAATAAATTTAAAATATGAGAGAATATCTTCCAAGTTTTTAATATGAGATAATCTCTGTTTTCCAAAAGAGAATAAAAATGTCAAATTTTAACCAGAAAAATCTCCAAATTAGATTTTTTTGAGGTCTGAGGTCATGTGTGATTTATACTATTCATAAATATCTATAGTTTGAATACCTCCCTGCATTCATTATGTGTAATACAGATGATATTGTAATGCTTTCTAGCTAAAAATAACATTGATGGGTATGTTTGGCCAGTACTGAGGCTGGTGTAAGGTGGAGAAGCGGTCAAAGGAAAGCTGGAGTGCAGTTTCCATGGCGTGTATTCGTGCAGACGCCTGCCCATATAACTGCTGCATCTCACGACTCCTTATTGTATCAGGATGTTCCTGAAATAAAAAAAAAATCAGGGGAAAACTTCATTTGAAACAGGTAACTAAAAAAGTACATAAACAAGGACACAAGTGTAGCATATTCACTATGGAAAAGTTGTGCTGACTGGAGCTTCGGCCATACAGCAGAGAGATCAAGAAACACAGAGTAAGTATAAATAGAGGGAAAAATTCAGGTGTAGAGCATGTGGATGGTCATATCCTGGAGAATGTCAGCAACTGACTGAGGCTACTTGACTGATATTTTTCGATGGGGTATGTATAGAAATAATTTATCCACAGTCCCCAACAAGGTAAAACTGATATGGCAATCATTGTGGAAACCATAAATTTTTGCTTCTGTAAATCCTTTTCCTTAACCCTTTCAGGGTCCAAGGCCCAAATCTGGAGTCACGCACCACTGTCCAAGAATTTTCAAAAAAAAAAATTTGTTAGTTTTTCTTATGAAATCGTAGAGAATCTTTTTGTGAAGGTAATAAAACAAAAAGTACGAAATTTGGTGGAAAATTGACGAAATTATGCTCTCGCGAATTTTGATGTGTCAGCGATATTTACGAATCGGCGATTTTGCCGACTTTGACTCCCATTTTAGGCCAATTACATTATTCCAGTCAACCAAATTCTTAGCTATTTCACTAGTATTACTTCTATTCTATCGATTGAGCACAAGAAATTGCCAAGTCAACTGTTTCAACTACAAAATAAAGTGATCGGAAATTGTTAATTGGCCAATTTAACACAAAGTTCAAAATATTCCAATTTCAAAATAGGGTCCAGAATGAACAATGTAGGCATTCCTGGCACTAAACTAACATTTCCTCTGTTCATTAGTTATGTTTTGAGGCTTTACAAATAAATTCCATTTTGATTTTTTATTCACATAATGAATTTTTATTCACACCAAAAAAATAGAAGATTTACTGTTATGCAATACTGTAATAATTGTATAAATATCATCACCATATTTGTGAATGTATATTAGACCCACCAGCTGATGTGTATTAGACGTGTGAGGTCGTTGTTTACTCTTGAATATCGGCAAAAATTTAACATTTCTGCTACTTTGAGCTCAGTTTCAAGCCATTTCCAGTGCTAAAACCAATCAAAATCATCTCTATTTCTGTAATATGTCTTCCATTCTATCAAATGAGACCAAGAAATCGCAAATACAACTATAAAAAACATACGAAAAAACACTGCAAAGTTGCTGTTTTAATCGAAAAATCATGATTTCATTTTTTTTCTCTCATTATACAGTGTGCTGCAGGATCTGTTTTATATGGTGCACACATACCACATAGATGTATTCTCTCATATCTAGGCCCAAATGTACCACTCACAGTTTATCAGAGTGAGCTGAGCTCATGGCGTAGATCTACGGTTTGGACCCTGAACGTAAAGCCGTAGATCTACGGGACGGACCCTGAAAGGGTTAACCCTTTGACTGTTTTCGACGTATAAATACGTCTTACGAGCCAATGTTTCTGACGTATATATACTCAATAATTCTAGCGGCTTCAAATCAAGCAGGAGAAAGCTGGTAGTCCCACATGTGAGAGAATGGGTCTGTGTGGTCAGTGTGCACCACATAAAAAAAATCCTGCAGCACACACTGCGTAATGAGAAAAAAAAAACTGATTTTTTTTGGAATAAAACGCCAACTTTGAGGTGTATTTTCGTATAGTATTTATCGTTGTATTCGCGTTTTCATGGTCTTAGGTGATAAAATGGAAAATCTATTACAGCAATAGAGATGATTTTCATTACTTTGACGATGAAAATGACCTTGAAACTGAGCTCAAAGTAGCGGAAATGTTCGATTTTTACCAATGTTCAGGAGTAAATAAAATCACACCACACGTCCAATACACGTTCAACTGGGGGTCAAATATTCTTTCACTAGTGCACTGATATTATTTATACCATTTTTAAAATAATCAGTAGTCTGCTTTAACAGTAAATTTTTGTATTTTTTTATGAATAAAAAATCAAAATAGAAAGCAATAATAATATAAGAGGGGCCTAGAGATGTGATAATGAACAGAGCATATGTTATTTTAGTGCCAAAGAATGTCTACCTTGTTTATTTGGACCCTATTTTGAAATTGGCATCTTTTTTTAAATTTTCGTGAAATTGGCCAAATTGCCAATTTCTGACCACCATATTGGGTAGTCCAAATTAGTAAATGGGAAGTTTTTTGTACTAGTGATAGATAAAATGGAGTTCTAAAGAAATAGCTATGAGTTTGGTCAACTGGAACAATGGAATTGGCTGAAAATAGGGCTCAAAGTCGGCGAAATCGCCGATACGCATATGTCGCCGAGACCGCTAACTTCGCGGGAGCATAATTATATGAGTTTTCGACCAAATTTCGAACTTTTGGTGTCATTACCATCGGGAAAAGATTCTCTATCATTTCATAAGAAAAAAAAATTTTTTTTTTTTTTCAAAAATTGAGCGACATAGAATGACAGTTTCAGAGAGAGGCCTGAAACAGTCAAAGGGTTAATGACCACTCTGGCTATATTTCACTTTGTGTCAATGGAAGTTGTAGTCTGTCAAATTGCAGGTACTTAAGTTTCTTTTTAAAACACACTGAGACAGGGTGACCCTAATAAGAAGAAACACTTTCACCATCACTGTCTTGCCAGAGGAGTGCTGATACTACAGTTCAAAACTGCTAATATCCCCACCCCTCCTTGAGAGTGCAGGTACTGTACTTCCCACTTCCAGGACTTATGTCCAGCTAACTAGTTTCCTTGAATCACACTCCAACAGCACACCAGGTTGTAAAAATCACTTGCCTCCACTCACTCCTATCTAATGCTCATCTGAATCTTATCAACTGCACTTCATCCATGGTTAATAATTTATACAGGAGAAGGAGTTACCAGCCCCTTGTTCCCAGTATTTTAGTTGTCTTTTATGACACGCATGGCTTACAGAGGAGGGATTCTTTTCGACTTCCCCATGGAGCTGAAAGGAAAATAAATACGAACAAGAACTATTAAGAAAATAGAAGAAAACTCAGATGGGTGTGTGTGTACGTATATATATATATATATATATGAGTATGTGCATATGTCGTGTGACCTAAATTTAAGTACAGTGGACCCCAGGTTTACGATATTATTTCATTCCAGAAGTATGTTCAGGTGCCAGTACTGAACGAATTTGGTCCCACAAGGAATATTGTGAATTAGACTAGTCCATTTCAGACCCCCAAACATACATGTACAAACGCACTTACATAAATACACTTACATAATTGGTTGCATTGGGAGCTGATCGTAAAGCGGGGGTCCACTGTATTAGTAGCAAGATGTACTCGTTATCTTGCTTATTTACGAGACAAAGAAAAGACACCAGCAATCCTACCATTGTGTAAAACAATTACAGTTTTTTTCATAATCACTTGGCAGGATTCATCAAGACAATGGATTTCCAAGTCTGCAGCTGTGGCAGCTTTTACTGGCTTTTTGGTTACAATCACATTACCTTTTGCCCACTTTGGTAAAATTTCGCACCTTTGGGATGAGTTCAGTTACACAGTTGACCGACACAAGTGCACATGTTCATGTTGGGATACCATTTTTAAAGGAATGTGTGAGTGTCAGCCAGACAAGCCTTGATCATAATTAGCATTGCCATACTTGACATGAACTCAGAGAGATGTTTTTGGGTCTGCCCAAACGAGATACACCTGTATGAGGAAATGACATCCATATTAAAAGACAAGAACACCAATAAAAGATCCTTCTTGAAAGACATGTCAGCATGGTATGACAGCTGGGAAAAAAAGATGGGTGGTAGGGACAGGGCTGTCTTGGACAGTGCTCCTGAGGGTGCTAGTGCTGTCCTGGAGGACAGTACGGAGGGTGCAAGTGTTGTCCTGGAGGAAAGTGCTCCTGAGGGTGCTAGTGCTGTCCTGGAGGACAGTGCTGAGGGTGCTAGTGTTGTCCTGGAGGAAAGTGCTCCAGAGGGTCCTAGTGATGTCTTAGAAGATAGAGCTCATGAGGGTACTAGTGTTGTCCTGGAGGACACTGAAGACAACCTTATTCAGTCCACAGAGGTTCAGAATAGAGATACTGCTGGAGATGGATTAAATGGGATGAGGCCTCAGGGAACAGTGTTGACACACTATCTGCAAAACCTGGTGGAAGCACTGATGTCCATAAAGGGGTAAAAAATATTGAGGAAACAGGAAAAATAAATGCACCAGCAGTGAATGCAGCTACAATAATCCTAGAAAACAGAAGTACAATCTATGTAAATAATGTACTATGCCTTGGGTATCTGCAGGCACGGTATATCTGGTAAAACAGGTGGGATATGAACCTTTGACCTCCCAAAAAATGCCGCACCCACATGACAACAGGAGAGTGCAACTTCCTTTCTTGCAACCTATTTCACTCAGAAATGTGTCACTCATCAATCCATGAAAGAAAATGCTACAATGCATACAGCCAGGTATATCATTTAAAGGAGACTAGGAGATACAGACTAGCCAGACTATGGGAAACAAAAGAGAAGGACCCACAATCTCTCCAGGGACAGAGGTTTTTTAGGGCCAGAAGGGAAGAGAGACTGGCAAGAAATGACAATAATCCTACACCACCTGAAAACACTTCTGGAGCAGAGGCACAGACATTGGCCTCTACCCCAGAACAACAGGTATTAGAATCAGCAAATTAAACCCCCCTAAATTCCACCAATATGATATTTGTCTTTGCAAACATACAGGGTCTAAAGCTGTCTAAAAACAACAAAATTCCTTACATCAAGGGACTGCTCACAGAGTCAAATGTAATGTTTGCAGCATTCACAGAGACCCACATAAAGGATCATTATGACAACGAAATATGGATCCCAGGTTATAACCTATTCCGATGCGACAGACTAAACAGGCAACAAGGGGGAGGGGAAGGCTTGGCCTGTATGTCAGAGTCGCTTATTTGCACAGAACTACTAAACACCTCAAATGATTGTTAGGTGT